TTTTCCTTTCTCAAGGCTTTCAACTGGTTCTGATACATATGTACATATTTATCCTCATGAGTACTTACTTCATAACCCGGTTTCTATATTTTCCGGCGTAATTGTGTAGTTTTAATCGATTGATGGCCGAATGTAATATATTTGTCTATTGGATTAGAAATCAATAGAAATCGCGAATTTATTCAAAAAATGGCACCTACCGTTCAAGGTGGAAGTTATCCTACAAATGCTGTATTCACGCCTGTTCGAGATGTCAATTATAGTATTCATCGTATGAGAGTGGGAATGAAAAAAAAGAGATATTGTTTCTCGAAATATGGACAAATGGGAGTTTAACTCCGAAAGAAGCACTGCAAGAAGCCTCCCGGAATTTGATTGATTTATTGATTCCCTTTTTACAGAAGGAAGAAGAAAACTTACCTTTAGAAAACAATCAAGACAGGGTTCTTTTATCCCCTTTCACTTTCATGATAAATTGGATAAACTCATAAAAAACAAAACAAAAATAGCATTGAAGTTGATTTTTATTGATCAATCCGAATTGTCTCATAGGGTCTATAATTTCCTCAAAAGGTCCAATATCTATACATTATTCGACCTTTTAAATAAGAGTGAAGTAGATCTTCTGAGAATTGAATATTTTCGCCCAGAAGATTTATACGAGGTACTGGACAGTCTAGAAAAACATTTCTCAATTGATTTATCAAAAAAGAAGTTTTAAATCGATTGGATTTTTTTAATTCAAATTAAGATGAAAATAGGTTTTGAATATGTAGCACAATTCATACATTCGAAAGAAATTTCGAATTTTATTGAATAGATGTATCTAGAGAGAATTCGCCTTGCAGCGACTATTCCCTAGATACACACGCCGTGTTATTTCACAATTGAATCAAATTCAATGAATCAAATTAAAAAAGACCTAAAGTTAAGGATTTTTCAATAGGTAATGTTGCACCAATACCCAACCAAAGGGCGACTGCGGTACCAATCAAAAAGACGGTTGTTGCTACTGGACGACGAAATGGGTTTTGGAATTTATTAACATTCTCTAAAAAGGGTACTGTTAATAATCCCGCGGGTACTGAAACCGTTAAAAGAACACCCAATAATTTATTGGGCACTGTACGAAGTATTTGAAATACGGGAAAGAAATACCATTCAGGTAATATTTCCAGAGGTGTTGCAAATGGGTCTGTCGGTTCACCAATCATTGATGGTTCGAGAACCGCCAAGCCTACGTTACATGCAATAGTACCTAGAATTACTACCGGAAAAATATATAAAAGATCATTAGGCCACGCGGGTTCTCCATAATAATTATGACCCATACCTTTAGCCAATTTAGTTCTTAATACAGGATCATTCAAATCAGGTTTTTTGTTATTGGGATAGGTGAATTCTTATAGATCCATCCCCCAAGAAACCGGACATGATAATTTTTTATCATCCAGCTCGAGCAAGACTCAAAAGAACCAAATGAATCTAGAAAAAATATATGTGTTGGTTATATCTACACATATATAAATGATTTAATGCAAGGAAAATCGGACTCTTTTTCCGAAATTGCAACTATCCATTACAAAGAATTCGGTTATAAGTCTAAGGAAATACTCAATACCCAAGTCGACTTGCAAACATATCTGGGCGGGATTAAATATATGACAAGGTTACCGATGTTGTAATCATTCTTGATCAGCATGAAGAATATACGGCTCTGCGAGAGTGTATCACTTTGGGAATCCCAACAATTTGTTTAATCGATACAAATTGTGACCCCGACCTTGCAGATTTTTCGATTCTGACGAATGATGATAGTAGATCTTCAATCGCTTAATTCTTAAAAATTAGTATTCGCAATTTGTGAGTGCCGTTCTAGCTATAAAAGAAATCCTTGATTACTAATCAAATAAATAACTTAGACTTCGTAAGTCTGATAGATTTTTGGAATCGGTTTTTTTCTGCATTTTTGAAATAAAATCGGTAAAAATAAATGGAGATATTATGTGATTAGTTAGTATTCAAAATATTTTTTGATATTGAAAAGATCCAACTCAAGGAGAGAAAGGGGTGGTTGAATCAAAATAATTTTTCTTTAAAGTTCTAGTTTTTCAGGGGGCAATATGAATGTGCTATCATGTTCCATTAATACACTAAAAGGGTTATACGATATCTGGGGTCAAAGTAGGCCAACATTTCTATTGACAAATAGGGGGTTTCCAAGTCCACGGCCAAGTACTTATTACCTCTTGGGTTGTAATTGCTATTTTATTAAGTTCAGCTACTATAGGTGTTCGGAACCCACAAAGCATTCCTACCGGGGGTCAGAATTTCTTCGAATATGTTCTGGAATTCATTCGAGATGTGAGTCAAACTCAAATTGGAGAAGAATATGGCCCTTGGGTTCCTTTTATTGGAACTATGTTTCTATTTATTTTTGTTTCTAATTGGTAAGGAGCTCTTTTACCTTGGAAAATCATAGAATTACCTCGTGGAGAGT